ATGCTGACCTACAACGCGGAGCGTCACTCCTGTCCTGCCGACAAGCCCATGTCCAACCAAGCGGTCCAATCCAGTTCATCGGCTTCCATTTGGAGCCCTCGATCCTCCTTCAGATTGGCATGCCTCAATGTACGCACACTGCTACAAATCGGTCAACAGGCAGCACTTGCCCGAACATTAGAGACCCTCTCGATCGATATCTGCTGCTTATCAGAGACTAGCCTGCAAGACTCGAGCACTGTGCTCACTCTGCGATCCCCTTCAGGGGACGCAAGCAGTATTTTCTCCTTGCGCCTATCCGGTGAAGATGCAGCTTTGAGCACCGGCCAAGCCGGTGTTGGTATTGCGCTGAGTCCCCGGGCTGAAGCTGCTCTGGTTGATTGGATTCCAATCAGTAGCCGGATGTGTGCGGTCCGATTGGCTGGCTCGTTCAAAGCTTCGAAGTCGCGCGGAACTACTAGAGGTTTACTCGTCATCGTTGCCTACGCGCCCACAAACTCTAGCGATGATTCGGTAAAGAACGACTTCTACCGCCAGCTGACCCAGCTCCTTCGCCACAGAAGAAGCACGGACACTGTTGTGCTGGCGGGGGATATGAACGCACAAGTTGGAAAGTTGTCCACTGATGAACTGCATCTGGGCGGTCAACACGGTGTAGGCTCCCGTAATGATAACGGTGAGCGGTTACTTCATTTTTGTGAAGATGCTCGCTTATTTCTTGCGAGCACTAATTTCCGACACAGCCCCCGCCGGAGGGTGACTTGGCGCCCACCAACCTCGAAGCAGCCTTGAACGCAGATCGATTACATTGCGATAAGTTACCGCTGGAGAGGCTGCATCCAGAATTGTCGCTCGATTTGGAGCACATGTGTGGACACCGATCATGCACTTGTATGTGCTGACATGCGGATGCGTTTTGGCGGACGCCCACGACGACGCTGTGAGCGTATTGACACCAGCCAACTGACAAAACCAGCTTTTCTGAATGCGTATCGAAGTACGCTAACATGCGAGTTGAGCAAGCGCTCACAGGTGACAATTGATGGTCACTGGTCACATGTTCGCCAGACCTTGCTACCAGCAGGCAAATCCTCATGTGGTATGTCTAATCGCCAACATGGACATTGGGTCTCTTCACAGTCTCTGGAACTTATAGATGCTCGCCGGAATATTCCGGCTGGAAGCGAGCACAATGAAACTCGTAAAGAGCTCCGGGCAAAACTCCGTGCTAGCCTGAAGAGAGACCGCGAATCTTGGTGGTCTCATCGTGCGTCAGAGATGGAAGTGGCCGCTGCCCTTGGCAACCATCGTAAGGTATTCCGTCTGATACGGGAAACGGGCAGCAGGAGACCTGGTGTTAGTGAAACTATATGTGACGAGAGTGGACAGCCTATCCACAATTTGTCAAAACGTCTGGAGCGTTGGGCTGAGCATTTTGAAATGCAATTTAATCGGCAGGAATTGTTCGATTCGCTGGTCACTGATCGCCCCGCTCCCTGGACTGTCCCTTTGGATCCACCCTCTCGCTCAGAAGTCCAACGTGAGATCGGACTGTTAAAGTTGAACAAAGCCGCGGGACCAGATGATCTTCCTCCAGCCCTCTTCAAATTTGGAGGCTCTGCTCTTGTTGATGCTTTGCATGAATTACTAGTGAAACTGTGGGAGCAGGAAGCTGTCCCAACCGACTGGAGCCGCTCCGTTATTGTTCCCATCTTCAAAGGCGGCTCGCGCTCGGAATGCGGCAACCATAGAGGAATCAGTCTGCTCTCCATCGCCTCCAAATTACTCGCTTCCATAATTCTCCACAGACTGACTGGCGCTCGTGAAAGCCAGATTCGTGAGGAGCAAGCCGGGTTTCGTCGGGGTCGTGGCTGCATCGACCACATCTTCACCTTGCGTCAGTTGTTGGAGCACCGTCACACTTACTGGCGGCCCACCGTAGTCGTGTGCCTCGACATCAAAGGTGCCTTCGATTCGGTTGACCGATGTGCCCTTTGGAATTGTCTACTCAGGAAAGTTGTGCCCGAGAAATATGTAAATATTATCCAAGCATTATTTGAGAGTAGCACGGGCAGAGTGAGGGCTTACGGCAACTTGTAGCCACCCTTTAATATCTCCAGCGGTGTGAGACAAGGATGCACGCTGTCACCTTTCCTATTCAACTTCGCTATTGACGAAGTCATGGAGATTGCATTTACAGGACATGACTTGGAAGGTGTGGAGCTACTCCCAAGAGAACGACTCCTTGACTTAGAGTATGCAGACGACATTGCCCTCATCTGTGACAGCTCCCAGATGTGTCAAGCCGCGCTGGACAGATTAGCACTGACTGTCAGTCGCTTTGGGCTTTGCTTTGCACCACCGAAGTGCAAAGCGTTCCTCCAGGATTGGCAGGGTTCGCCCCCTGTGCTGACCCTTGGTGGGGATCAGCTAGAAGTCGTTCAGAAATTCAATTACCTGGGAAGTTGTATCAGCGCCCTTGGGATCGAAGACGAGATCACGAACCGCATAGCGAAAGCTCGAAGTGCTTTTGCTAACCTTCGCCACCTATGGCGACGGCGCGACATTACTCTCGCCCTGAAGGGTAGAGTGTACAATGCAGCGGTACGTTCGACCTTACTGTACGGTTGCGAAACCTGGCCCCTAAGATCGGCGGACATGAAGAGGCTAGTTACGTTCGACCATCAGTGCCTTCGCAGTTTGGCTCACATCTGGTGGGAACACCGCGTGAGTAACGAGCGTGTGCGACGCCTTGTTTACGGCCTAGGAAAAGGGAGTGAACCGCTCAGCACCGTCATTTCACTCACTAGGCTCCGATGGCTGGGCCACGTGTTGCGCATGCCAGCCCACCGACTCCCTCGACGTGCGTTGTTTGCTCACCGGGGATGTGGGTGGAAGAAGAGGAGAGGTGGCCAAGCGATGACTTGGTCAAGAGGAATGAAGTCCCTCACTTCGGAGCTAGCGTCGGTTGGAGCTTCACGGCTCCCTGGTTGGGGTCCGAAAGACGGTGAACACGTTTGGCTGGATACACTTGCTGATATGGCAAGGAGCCGACCTCAGTGGCGTTCCTGCTGTGAGTTTCTTTGTCCCTCCTCATCCTTTTAGCCTCCCCCTCCACCTACGATCTTATCTCATAGCGTAAAACATAATAATTTTTGTTTTTGCCTAGTAGCCGGCTGGTAGCTTACCGGAACGATGCCTATCCGTTGCTGGTAGTTCAGCTGGCATTCAACTGTCGTATTTATTTTTCCTTTATGTATTGTATGTATGTATGTATTTCCTTTACGTATTGCGGTACAATAGCGGAGGTGTTTTACCATCTCTAGCTGACATGTATAATGATGATGATGATGATTTACGACAATCTGTTACACCATCATCTAGGAATATATAGTATATGCCACCCACTTTTGCACCAAAGTATTGGACCTTTGTGTACGGGCTGCTACTTAACTTCATACAGGATACTTCCACCTGTACGGCAAAGGGGTGATGACGTTGAATGTTTACTGTCTTATCCACCTAGCACTAGATGTGCAGGTGCAGGAACACTGGACGAGTTTTCCGCATTGACATTTGTATCCTTTACCGGCCTTCTTAAGCGGGTAGTTTGTAACGCAGGAAACCCCGCGGTGCAAGTTTTGCGACAGTGCTTGGAATATGTAGCTGTCGGTACCGCTTCGCGGATACCTGATTCCTCAGGATGCGTTCGCGTTTGTGTGGCTTAAGACCTCGGGAAGTGGTTCTTTCGGATGGCGCGACCTAAGTATCAAGCGCAACTGACAGCGTGAGCATTCTTTCCGATTTTCTGTACTGCATTGTCCGTTTTCCGGAGCTACATTGTTTGCAAACCTCTCGCAGGCGTCTTCCCGCCATACAACCTTCGGATATCTTCTTCTGTGTTGAACATATTGGCCGCCTCAGGCATCCATGATGAGTATATGTGCTTATGTGCGCGCGACATCTTTGCAAATGTGCCTGTTTCTCTATTACTTACCTGTTCATTATTCTTACCCTGCTGTATACCTACCAAACCCTGGATGCAAGAGCTGGGTTTCGGCATATTTGGCATTCCTATCTTACGTTACTTGGCTAGTATTGCTTTTATGTAACACCACACGGAAGCAGCAATTGATAAGAAGAACGTCTTATAACCCACATCTAGATGCAGCACACTTAGCTGGAAGGGACTCAGAGTGGAACGTAGCCTTAAGCTATGACCCCTTGTTTCGCTTTCGCTGACGCGTGCATTGTTGGCACAGCTAAACTACTACGGTTCCAGTAATAAAACCGGATTTCGCAAAGCGCTAGTTTTCAAGGAAGCGCACGC